TCCCTGATAATGGAGCTGCATCCTGTTGAGAGATAGGTCTGGCTGGGCACATCCATACCTGTAGAGAGAGTAAAGACCCTGGGAGGAGTGAGATTTTCAGCTGGCACTGCTCCTGTCACAGAAGCGCCTTTCACATTTTTATCCCAGTATTATCACTCAGCTGAGATTATAGTTTTTATTTAGAGTATTTTCTGCTCACACATCTGGCTTAATCTTATTTTTATTTTCTTAGGTTACTGTATCAACAACAGATAGAAGAAACAATAAATTGATTTTCAAAGTGAATTTGGTGGAAATGGATGAGAAGATCTTGGTTGACTTCCGGCTTTCTAAGGTATGTAAAATAGCACTTTTTTTTTAACTTTTGTTTTGCTGAAGTATTACATGTTCATTTCAGAAATTTAAAAAATACCATAAAGTGTAAAGAAGAAAGTAAGAATCAAGCTTAATTTTATCATCCAAAGAGAATACAGGTTTTTGATATTTTATTATAGTAGCCTTACTACTATTTATAATATGTACTATTTGGAAATACTCTTATGTGGGGATTTTTTTTAATGGCATTATATTTATAAATATAAGGTAACTAGAGTTTTTTTAAAATTTAATATCATGAACATTTGTTCTTGTCATTATCTTTTCTTCTAAAGCATAGTTTTTTCAAATGACATTTTCCTTATTATAAGTTTTTATTTTTTTAGAATCTATAAATAAATAACACATAAGAAAATAAAAGTAGTCCTAAATTATTTTTACTATTAAAATAATTACCCTTTATTACCCTTAATATTTTGTAGCATTCTAAACTTTTTCTTGTTGAATTTGTATACAATATCTTTTTCATAAAAATTATGATTTTTCAAAATGTACATTATAATTAATGAACCTTTATCTATTACAAGCAACTCTATGATTAATACTTATATACATAGAGTTTTGTTCACATTTCTAATTCTTTCTTTAGAAATTAGTGGTTCTGGGGTTAGAGTTTTAAAGCCCTTGGTGTATAAGACCAAAATAGCATTTTCTCTATTTCCTGAGAGATTGTACGTGGCTCTAAATGAGATTGGAAGAGTAGGTCACGTTCTTTGTATGAGAAATTTGCTGCAATTCTATTGTCCAGATGCTTGGTGGGAAATTAAAGTAAGATCCTAGTGTAGTGAAATCCTTCTGATAACTGAATCACTGGCTTTGTTGCCACAGTATTTTGGCAGACTTAAGTGTGGTTGGGTGGCTTATTTCTAGTTTATAAACTCCCAGTGCCTATGAAAAACAATGACATCGGTCCAAAGATACCACTTGAAAAAGACAGGTTGCCATTGTTTCTGCTCTCTGGGCCCCAGATCAAGTCAGAAATATTTATGTAGCCATTTCTTCTCCCAACATATTTTGTCTTCATAAGAGGACCTGAAGATAATTGTAGCTGGACATAATTATGGATGTCTGTCTCTACTTTCCATTAAAGAAAGTTTAATTTTATGGCATGGTCTCATGTTTTTGACATTAGTTTTGGATATTATTCCTAACATAGGGTGATGGATTGGAATTCAAGAGACACTTCCTGAAGATTAAAGGGAAGCTGAGTGATGTTGTAAGCAGCCAGAAGGTTTGGCTTCCTGCCACATGATAGATCCACTGGCTCTGGGATTCCTGGTGAATATAGTGCTGCTATGTGGACATTATTCTTCCTAGAGAAGATTATCTTACTCTGCAAACTGCAAGCAGTAGTCCCTGAAGAGCTGTCTTCCTTCTAGCTAAACATTTTTCAATCCTTTTTTGTATGTTCTTCATACAAATAATACCTATATCTTAACTGTAAGTAAAACTCTGGGGAAGGGGTGTATAGAATTCATTAGATATTTCTTCACCTGCGGTTAGTGTCTGAATTTGAGACCCACCTGGTGTAAACCAAGCTTTGGGGATACATGCGTTTACCGGCTTTTATTACCAACATAATGAAAAATGATACACTTGTCCTATTTTTACCAAAACATTTGGTTTCATCCAAAAAGTACGTATTTCCTCCATGTTGGCTTAATTGCATGAATGAGTTAATAAAAACAACCTGTGACTTTGGGACAGTAGATTTATCAGTCTGTGAAGTGAAGCGAACATCAAAATATATCCATAAGATTTGTACTTATATTTTCAAAAGGGCCTGACCAGGTATATAAACCTGTTTTTGAATTATAATTATTAATTAAAATTGCAAGTCGGTATGTTTTGTTTTTCTGGTGTAGTTAACAATATATAAAATATGGATTGGTCTGTCAAGTAGAAGTTGAGCATGAACTCTAGTGCTTAACTACCTTTACTCTGAATTACTGTTGCACATTTTAAATATTTTTCTGTATTATTTTCTACTTTCACAGCCATATTTTAATTCTTTATTACAGAAATAAATTCTATTTTGAAAGTGGATAGCTAACTCTGTGAACTTATTGGTGGCTAAGCTTCCAGGTGGTAAGGAGTGCAAGAGCAGGGAGACGTGAGGAAGCTATGATGGAAATAGATCTGATTCCTATTAGTTCCTATTCCTATCCGTAGGACCTTTTACCTATTAGTTTTAGTAAGACCTTGTTCTTCTGATAAAATTCATACTAACTTTTGAATGTATTCGATTGGGACCCTGTATTCCTTTTCCTTGGTAATTTATAAAAATTAGTCAGTTATCTTAGTCTGAGGCCAAAAGCGTGAAATTTTATCGAGTTTATCATATGAGGTATATACTGGTGAATTGTGTTACTGTAGTATACCCATACGAGGAATCAATTCAAACCTACAGGAGGCTCCTAAGAATTGAGCCAGTGCATTCTCAAATATGAAAGAAATTTTGTTCTTGAGAATTGTCAGCTGGCCATCAGTAACTCTCAGAATCAAAGTTGTCTCTGGCTTTGACCTCTCCCCTGAGTTCCAGGCTTTTATAGCCACAGCCTACCTGACATTTCCCCTTGACTAATAGTCATCTTATGGCCAAAACCAACTTCTGATCCATGTCCTCCAACTTACTCCTCCCTAGAGTCCCCGTCTAAATAAATACTACATTAGCTCCCCAGTTTCTTGAGTCAAAACTCTAGAAATCTTCCTTGATGTGGTTTTCATATTCTGTATTCAATTCAGCAACTGCTATTCAATTCAGCAAATATACATAAAATATACGAATACAAAATACAAATACGGGAAACTTCTATATAGTTCTCTTCAAGGAACTTTAAAATAGTTGTTTCTGAATTTTTGTTAAGTGTTTATAGTTACCTGAAGTAGGGCTAGTTCAACCGAACGAATCCACCACTATTGGAAGCCAGAACTCCTCTGCCGTTAAATTTCAACAACATACTTGAATTCATTCCCACAACATATATTGTGAATAGATTTAGCTGTATTTAATGTATTTAGCTAATATTTATCCCCCTCCCTCAAAAAAAGTGTCCACAATGTTAGTAGAATTTTGTTTCTTTCTTGCCCCCCAGTAAACTGTATTTCAAGTTGAGAATTCCTCTGGGATTCTGAGTTCTTATGTATGAAATCAAAAGCCCTACCCGTAAATAAAACATTGACAAATTAGATTTTATAAAAATTAAAGGTTTCTGCTCTGCAAAAGGCACCATTAAGACTCCCCAGTTGATCTCAAGGGCTTTTAAGCAGAGGTGTTGGGGAGCAATGGCTAATAGGAAATGGGCTTGTGTAGGAGAGAAGTTTGATTTTGGTCTTGAAAGGACCATTTTTGGCTAATAGTCATAGTGTGGTGCAAACAGACTGAGATCATGTAGATTTGGTTTTGAAATCTGGCCAGGGCTCCCTGTAGCTCTGTAAACCTGACAAGTTCAGAACAATACAGAGTATGAATATATAAAACATTTTTATGTCACACTTTCTTACTTATAAACTAAGGATGATGCTATCTTTCCTGACTACTCTTCTGGGCTCTTTTCTGAGGAACAGATGCAACCATGTATGTGAAAATACCTTGAAGAACATAATACCAATACAAGGTGAGAGGAGGGACTGTGGGATTTCCCCCTGCCCCTCTATGCTGAGATGAATCAGTAACATTGTGTGTGAGAAGATGTGATAATTATGACCTACATATTTACATAGCAAGTAAATTCAAAGGAGTCAATTTATTGTTATAATTATGTTAAGGGTAGACTCTTCACTGAAGACTCTCCGGAGCCAAAGAAGGGGTGAGTTGAACACCGTAATAAGTAGAAGTGTGTGTGGTTTCCATAGGGATGGAAAGTTTGGAGGTCAGAGAGAAGGACCTGCGATATCGTTTTTAAGCTCCTAAAAAGTTAACACCTATTTTGCATTTCTCTTTTTGGTCTCTGCCCCTGTGGCAGCTGGGGGTTGGGGTGGGGCGGGGTGGTGTGGTGGTTCACTTTGAGGAATAGGGAATAGTTTAAAAATGCACCCACTTTATACACTTTATTTTTTTTTAGTGAAAGTATAGTTGACTTATAATTTTGTGTTATTTTTTGGTGTACAGTGATTCAATTATATATATCTATTCTTTTTCAGATTCTTTTCTGTTATAGGTAATTATGAGATATTAAATATAGTTCCCTGTGCTATACAGTAGGTCATTGTTGTTTATTTATTTTAAATATAGTGGTGTATAATATGTTAATCCTGAACTCCTAATTTATCCCTCCCATCTCCCCCACTCTTTAGTAACCATACATTTGTTTTCTGTGTCTGTGAGTCCATTTCTGTTCTGTAAATAAGTTCATTTGTACCATTTTTTTAGATTCCACATATAAGTGATACATATTTGTCATTCTCTGACTTATTTCACTTAATATGATAATCTCTAGGTCCGTCTGTGTTGCTGCAAATGGCATTATTTCATTCTTTTTTATGGCTAAGTTATGTTCCTGTGTGTGTGTGTGTGTGTGTGTGTGTACACATACCACATCTTTATCCAGTCATCTCTCAATGGACATTTAGGTTGCTTTCATGTCTTGGCTATTGTAAATAGTGCTACTATGAACATTAGGGTACAAAAAATGCACCCACTTTAATGTGTGGAGTGGAAAGAAGCTCAGGGTGACCTTGCCACTTGCTGACAGGAAAAGACGTCTATCTAATGTCTACATCTTTTAGTCATGCAGAATTTATTGAAAAAGAAAAGAATGCTAAGAGTTGGGTAAGAGAATAGGGAAGACAGAGGGCATAGAAGAATGGGTAGCAGGGCATAGGAGAGAGAAGAGAAGATATTTAAGCATCTTGCCCAACACTCAGGCAGAGGAAGATGTGATCCGTTGTTGAGTGAAGTAGAAACTAAGTATAAATTGAGACCAGCAGGGTGATGGAGCAAGAAGCAAGGGCACAGTCTTCTAGATCTTATTGCAGAAAGACTGGTTCTGACAGCATATGATTTGCATCCTGGTTCCGTGGGAGAAGAGGTTCATAGATGGGCACATGTTCTCACACCCTTGAACCATAAATTGAAGTTTTCCACCTGAAAGAAGCAGAGACAGAGTGTAGTGAGCAGAAAGCTTCCTCCTCTAGCCTTAGCCTCCATCCGTGGTCCCCAGAGTTGCCATGTAGGCACGGCCAAGTCCTCCAACTTGTATATTCTTTCTCTCCCTCCCCTTCCATCTGCATCTTCTGGGCCTTTCCTCAGATCAGTTGCCCACTCTCTCTAGTGAGAGGCCAGGTAAACCACAAGGGAAGTCAGGCAGTGTGGTTCATAAGGTGGAAGTAACCAAGATCTCTTCTTTGTTTGGGGGATGAGGATTGAGTGAAGGGTAGAGAGGTGTGGGAATACACTCAGACACATCTAGCAACCTGTGAACGTAGACTGGTGGGCCATTGTTTATTAGTTCATTCATTTATTCAGTATTTACTAAAGGCCTACCATAGGCTGGACATTGTGCCAAGTGCTAGGAGTACATAGTTGTGAATAAGGTAGAAACATTCCTGAGCTTACATTCAATGTCTCAACAGCTCAAGGGGCAACTCACACTTTTCTTTAATAGGAAGAGACAGCCAATCTCCCTGCCTCCTTTTAAGACATCTTAGACCTGCTGGGAAGGGCCTCTACCTTTCTCTAAGTAGCTGGAATTCTGCTCTTAATTCCCGAAAGGATGAGGTTCTCATGAATCTCAAAGGTTCTGAGGAATCACAGCTTGGGCCCTCCTCAGGCCCCCGCCACCCTAACTGCTCCCCATCCGTACTCAAGCTGGCTGATGTGTTCTCTGGCAAAGATTGGTTCGTGAAGTCCCCATATACCTTCAAAGATCTTCTTTAACATGCACTGCTGGGAATTCTGAGTAGTGCAGACTCCCTCTCCACGAAGACATTTTCCTTGTTCATTCATAAAAGAGCATGTGTGGCAATTTAATGCCGGGCCTGAAAATTTAAGATAAGACTGATGAAATAACCTTATGATCCAGGTGTGTAGCCTTGGGTCACACATCTGGGGAGGAATGATGGGCAACAAGTGGTGAGGGTACATTCCATTTCTTGGTTCTTGTTGGGGATGTGAAGGGTCTGTGTCTGAAAGACATATTCTTTTTCCCGTACCAGAAAACTCCTGCATTCTTACTACTTCGACTGTGATTTTCACTGCTGATGAATCCCACGTTTATCTCTCTAATACTGACTCTTAATTCATATGCCCGTGGCTTCCTGGACATGTATAATTAGATGCCCTTCTGTGGTGTCTAACTCAGTAGGAGCCAAGTAGAACTCACGTGACTGATCCCTTCCATACGCCCTGTACACTCCCACTTATCCACAAAGCACAAACATTTGTAGTAAAATTTGATTAATAAGCTCTGTTAGAATGCTCTAATGTTGCAAACCCTGTAAAGTGTCTGCGTCATTCTCCATTCTCAAGTTGACCTTCAACAAGGTTGATTTTTCACAAAGGGCATTCATACTCTTTGAAATGATTCCATATTGCTTCTCTTACTGTCTCCACTGCCAGTCCCCTAATTAAGGAAATAGAAAGTGGAAGGAATCTGGGCTTTGAAGTTGGACCTAAGTTTGAACCCAAAGTTTGCTACTTTCTAGCCAGTTGATGTTGGCCTCACTTCTCTCACCTGGAAATCTGGGACACTATTACTTACACAGTGGGTGAAACATGAAGTGTTTGTGTCTGGTAGGTAATAACTTGAATCATGAAAACTTGGATCTTGTTTTCCTTCCTTGAACAACCCCTTTTCAGTAAAAGCCAAAGAATTGAAGTTGTTCTGGGAACTTATTTCCGGATCTAATCGACAAAAGTGTCTCCATGATTTACTTTCCACATTCAAACAAAGAAAAAACAAAAAGCTACCAAGTCCAGGACTAGACATCTCTTTACAGGGCTTGCAAAGCATTTGAGCATAGCTTGTTCAGAGGCAGATTTAGCATGAAGCTTACAGAGGTGGCCTCCGTGAGCCCCTTCCCGGGGAGCCACGGGCATCTGTATTCATAATTCCTTATGTAGAGTGAAGTTGGAGGGTCTGCTGGCATTTTGCATTTGTGTCCTTTTCTTAAAGAGGGCTCTCTGAATTGTTTAACCTTCAGAGCCCCACAAAACTTGGATCCTGACCCCTGGTATTATTGTAAATAAATATAAAGAGTCTTTGGGAGAGCTGTTTGTGAAGTATCTGAGCCATTATTTCTTCTAAACTCCTTAAAATTGATTTTCTTGATGTGTTACCTACTTCCCACCTGAAGTCAAGAACTGGCACCCATCCAAGTGTGGCTCACCTGAAACTGTGCTTGAAGGTGGAATGCCTGAAGGATCTTCACCTGATGACTGTTCACCTGCGACCTGTTCACCTGAAGGCTGTTCACCCAAAGGCTGTTCAGCTGAAGGCTGCTCACCTGCAGGCTTTTCAACTGAAGACTGTTCACCTGAAGGTTGTTCACTGGAAGCGTGTTCACCTGCAGCATGCTCACCTGAAGCGTACTCGCCCGAAGCGTGTTCAGCCACAGCTTGTTCACCTGAAGCATGTTCAACCGCAGTGTGCTCACCTGAAGCGTGCTCAACTGCAGCATGCTCGCTAAAGGCGTTCTCACCTGAAGCAGTCTTGTACAAAGCCTCACATTCTGAAAGATTTGCAAGTGAAAAGTAATCACCTGAAAGTTGCTGAACTGAAGCTTGATGATCCAGAGAGCCAGGAAGCTCATCAGGTTGACCTGATGATCCTGGGATGGAGAAGTAACAGAAGGAGAGACAGTGAAGGTGAGAGAGAATGTCAGGGTAAAGAGTACTTTCCTATGGAGTAAGGTTGTGGGATTCCTAAGTTTCCTGGGGACCTAGATCAAGCACTTGAAGATGTTGCAGATGTTGGAGGAAGTCAAACAATTACCTGAGAGACCATGGAGGACAGAGGTGTTAACGAAACACACAAAAGACCACCTCTGTGATTGAAGGGAAGAGTTTTAAGATCCATAATATTTATGCGGATCTGTGTGTACTGAGTGGGCACAGAGGGGCCCACTCACCTAGCACCAAAAGTACTTGTGCATCCTGGACAAAGCCAGCATGAGGACATCGATGTATCATCATTCATGTAATCAGAATTTCACCACTAGCCTCCCTCCAGTTCCTCTACGGATGAAAGGTAAGAATGGAGATACAGGAGGGTGAGAGAAAGCAAGCTGTTTCAATAACGGAGTAATTCTAGCTGAAACTGAGAGTGGAAGGTTTTAGACTTTGGGTAAGACACGTTTTAAATGGGAGATGACAAGTATCTAATGAACGCACAAAGATTATCACAAGGGATGAAGACCTACCTTTATTTGGCAAGTTCACATTCTTTCCCATAGTCAGTCCCCAGCCCACGTGGGTTGGAGACTCAAAGCCAAGTTGCTATCGATTGGTTATTAAGATAAAAACATTCTTTGCTCCTGTATCTTTGAACTGAGATTCCTTGTGACATACCACTTACACCTGCTTCATGGAGTCGTCGTGAGTATTCAGCAAGGTAAGTTGTGAAGTACCTAGTCCATTGCTTAAGGGCTCGATTAATTTTAGTCTTTCCTCTTCCCCACCTTGCGCTTGGAATTACAAAGCTCATAGCTGATCGTTCTCTTCTGACCACTCTCTTCTACCTTTAATCCATCTCATCAATGACTGTCAGACAAATATTCCTTAAAGATAACTTTCATTTTATTAAGTGTAGCACCAAACAATTTGATTGACTCTGAGTAACTGATTTAGACTGAATAACCTACAAGAGGGTGGTGAATGACTATAATGACTAAGTTATTAATCCTAGACAAAAATTGAGAGGAATCCAGGCTCTTTGAGGCCTAAGGCCCCAAAGTACTCTAGGTCTGAAGTCCTTATAATCACAGTCCTTACAACTCTCTGAAAGCCTGGGATTAGAATATGTTGATACAGGAAAGGTAAGATTGGCTAAGGCTTTTAGGAGTTTTTTATTTTAAAAAGTTGTTACAGAAATACCATCTGCTTGACTGATTCATCAAAAATCTCAAAAGTTTTTATAAAGAGATGTATAAAGAGATTTCTGATACTGAAAGGAGGCTTGAAAGAGCACACTGATTTCTTAGTCATTCTTATAGTTTATTTCACCAAGTGGCTGGCACCTACCACTGTCTGGCAGGAATGTATCTACATTTCTGAGTCAACTTTTGAAAGTCTAAGAAAGCAAAAGACCAAATCTGAGAAGCAACATCACAGAAGACATTTTGTCATTTAACTGACGGCTCAGAGCTCATGGCCTCTCACTTCTGTAGGAGCTGGGGGAGCACAGCCCACCATGAACAGGGATCCTGAAAGGGGAAATAGAGAATGGGATAGAGGGCCCATAGCCAGGAAGGCGAGCTGGTTGGGTCTCTGCCCCACAGCCGTGCTGTGTTTAGGGGTGACTTTCTGGGCTTAACCCATTCCCATCTCCTTGTCTCTCTCCTTGCTACATCAAACAAAGATCCCTGACACTCAGTTCACTCGGAAAGACCTACACTGGACTCCTGCAGAACCCCTAGACCTACCTTCTTGTTCCACAGAGCATCAGATACAAATGTTGAGTGGCTGAAAGAAGTAAGAATGATACTGCGCCAAGCCAGTCTCTGATGGGGAAGCTGTAACTGGGAGCAATCAGCTGCTTCTGCAGCTCTCAGAGCTGAACTTGCTTAGCTGTTCCTAATTCTGAGTCAGACTGGTTTGAGTAACCAAGATACTGGCCTTCCTTCAAGGGCCGAAGCACCTTAAAGAGGCCTCTTACATGTCCCCCCAGAGCCAAGAGAGAGGACTCACCTCTGGCAGATCCAAGCAGATAAAGATTCACTAGTAAGAGAAACATCTTCATCTGGAATTTGGGAAAGAGGGGCCCCTGGTGTGGGGTACCCAGGAGCCGTGAAGCAAACGTGAGCAGAAGCTCCCACTGCTGAGCCACAGCATCTGGGAATTCTAGAACCTCAGAAACAATCCATGCTTCCTCACAATGGGTTGTGCTCTGAGGTCCGTATGTCACCTGCTCAGGCAGGCTGGCCTGCTAACAACCCTGGCAAGTTGGACCTGTTAAGCTAATTTGCCATGTGTGTGGTGGTGTACTCTCTGCCCTATCTTTAAAAAAATCTTATTACCAAAATAAGATATATTCTTTGTAATACATTTTAAAAAGCTATCTACTCTCTTTGAAAAGTGTTCTTGACAGTGAGGAGTGATTAGCTGGTTATTTTCTGTCTGGCTCTCCAAATCAGCCCCTTTTGGCCCTATACCCCAGAAGGCAGACCTCTATTGACTTGATCATCCGAGTGCTGGTTGGGTTCAGCTTCAGATTGTGTTTAGCCAATGGGATATTGGAGAAGGAAACACACATACACACATACACACACACACACACACACAGATTGAGATCAATGTATTTATTCCTCCTAATACCTTTCTGCCACAGTTCTGACACTGGCTGGGTCTTTACATGATGATTTCTGTCAAGTGTTCTCTTTTCCATGGCTCCACCTCTCAACCAGGCTACGGTAACATGTATTCCTTCCCTTGCCCTCTTAGTCCTAGGGTGATGATGGTTTCTTACTGTTGCTAAAACCTAGATGCCCCAACTTTTAAAAAATTTCTCTAACCCTGCCCGCTTCTGTAAATAGCCTTTTCATGAGGGCCGGCACTAAATCATGGTTTTGGCAGGAAACAGATGGCAAACTCACATGGGTAACTGAGGAGAATTTACATAATATTGGTACAGCAAAGGGATCTACATGGGATACTTGAAAGCTGTACCTTGAGCTGTAACTTCTATCAAGGGGGTAGCCAAGCTAAGATGGATGCAGTGAAGCATCCACCTGGTATTAAGCTAGGACTTTGGAAGGACTGGGTGGCAGAGATATCCCAGCCCCCATCTGCCTCTTCCCTGCTCACCTCTCTTGGACCACTTTGTTACATGTACCACTGAATGCTGGATCTAAAATAGTTTTATTTGTCAGTCTAGTAATTCTTGGTTTAATGTGTCTCCCCCATTGGACTCTAAGCTTCTTGAAAGTGGGGTCCTTGTGTGTCTTGATCCCTGTTATATCCCCACTACGTAACAGCAGGTTTGTCACACAATAGGTGCTTAATCAATTCTTCCTGAATGAAGGAATGAATGAATTGCCTTTTCTGGGCCCCTCTGTCTCTTGGAGGAAAATCTATAGAGAGCCCCTAGGGTGGGCTGGCTGAAGACTGTGGGTCAGCTGGAGAAAGCAGGACCACAGGGGTCAAAAGTTGCAGAGGCCTATCCTACTTGGCTTGAGTTGGAGGCAAAAATGAGGATTTCCAGGTCTGTGGCTGGGCTCCTTCAGAGTAGAGGACAGTGTGACAGGGCACGCTGTCAATGGTTCCTTTCCTTCATGTGGAGTGAGTCAGGAGAAGCAGCTGAGATCACACCGGCTCCGACTTTTGTTGTTAGAAGCAGTGGAAATTAGGGGAAAGGAAGAGGTCTTCTCTATCCCACCCACCAGTTTAAAGTTTGCCAGCAGCCCTCTTTGCAACTCTCAGAACATTCTGGTACAGCCCTGCCTCACCCCTCTCCAGAAGTGACAGTATTGAAAGATAAGACCTTAAAGCCTGAATGCTCTTTAAACCTCATCCTCCAACTTCTTCCTTTCTCTTTTCTTAAGGTTGGCTTTGCAGGACTAGATCTCAGTCCCACCCAGGCTGGCTCTTGGGCTCTCCTGCAGAAACCGTCTCCCTGTGTCCAGCAGTCCGGTGCTCCAGAGTCCAACCTGTGAGTCTCTCAGGCCACCGTGTAAGAAAACATGTGGTGATGGAGAACTCACTGTGGAACCTGAACAGCTCCGAAGCTGAGACACCTAGAGGCATTCCAGTCTGCGCTTCCCTCCTCTGCTGACCTCTTTCATTCTAGATGAGTTAATGTTCCTATTTCCAATGCCCCTAAATGACCCGAAGGACTAGCTAGCTCAGCCCCAGCTCACAGATGAACTGATTTACAAAACACAGACTTAACAAACACAGAAACCAACCTTACGGTTACTGGGCCGGGGGTGAAGGTAAAAATTAATTCTTAACTCTTCACACACTCCCTGGGAAGTCTTAATCCATGTCAGTCACCACCTACCAATTGAAGACTCCCCAAATCCAGCAGCCTGACCTACCGATTCCTCTCTTTTTAGTTCAGACCCATATATCCAGCTACCAAGGGGACATTTCTACTTGGGTATTCCAGAACACCCGAAACTCTGCATGTGTGATCCTGAATTCATCATCTGTACTCCAGCTCTGTTCCTGGGACCTTTAGCTTGTTACAGGCACACCTCATTTTATTGTGCTTCTTAGATAGTGCATTTTAAAAATATTTTTATTACATATAGTCAGTTTACAATGTTGTGTTGATTTCTGGTGTACAGCACAATGCTTCAGTCACATAGAAACATGTATATTTTGGCTTAAAAGTTCATTTTCCTTCTGATTTTAAAAGACTCTAAGACATTTTTGTGGGTCTCTAACAGCACTCTGGGTTCTAAGCACTATGGCTACTGTAGCTAACGGATAATTGTCTGAGGATGGGGATGGGCAAAGTGTTCTCCCGACCCTCTGATTCTAAGGATGCTGACTGAGCAGAGTACAAACATGAGTTTTCCCAGATATGGGCCCTTAACACTTCTGAGGAAATACTTCTCACTTAAGTTTTATGATGGTTCAGTTTCCGCTGCAGTGAATGCTGAGATTTTTTTTTTTTTGGTTGTTCTTTAAGACAGGAGGTTTTAATTTCTTTTTCAGAGTTAGTAAAAGACCACTGCATCAGGAATGTATGACTTCCTGACTCCAGTGTGTAGTGTATTGCATTTACACAACAAAACAATATTTTACTTCTAAAACAACACTTTAAAAATTGTTATGCACTTGACATGTATCTTTATTAATTTTATTCTAAAAGTACATGTGAAATGTTCTGCATCAGGGGTAGTTTTTAATTAATTACCTTACGGTAAGGAATAAGTGGGTGGTCCCCCGTTGCTCTAGTCGTTACTCTTGGGGTGATGCAATAAAAGTGGAAAAATCTTCTACACAAGTGGCTGCACATTCCATAGGCAAAAGTGGGAGAAAATGGATTTGGGGCTACATATACACAAGAGAAAGACAGCTGTCCTCAGCCTTTCCTGAAAGGAGGGAGAAAAACTTTTGCTCCTTGGAGATTCCTGGATTCTCACTGCAACTCGCTGCTATGGAAATAAAACATCTCCAAGGGCAATCATATATCTGTGGCTTTTACAACTTGGAAGTGTCTCCCAGGCTCCAGGCCACATTATTGCCTGAACGTAAATGCCCTCAAGGGTCCGAGTGCCCCGGTGTGCCTGGCCACCTGGAGCTTAACCTAGGGCCGGGGTTCAGGCAGTAGCTACTCGGCCCTTTCAGAGAGATAAGGGAATCTTATTGCTTATTATTCCCCCAAATCAGAGCAATTAAGTAGACAATTCTTTTGGTTTGTGAAAAGTGGAATGTTTCCAGGGGCAGTGAGAGCACATCTTTTTTTTTTTTAAATCTTTAAACTGTATACATTTCCTTATCCCAAGAGGATGGACCTTTTATAGGAACACTAAGAAATCTAGGGAATATTTATTTCCCAGCAACAGATTAAAAATCATTTTTAATATATGCAAGAAACAAAAAAATCTACTTTTTTTTTTCTTTCAGCATCTTTCACTGTGTAATTGGGATGCATTTTATACACAGCACATGTTATTTGGTAGAAATCTCTTAGTCTGGAGAAAAACCCAGAGGATAAGATGGTGTTTACCAGCTGCTGCCCACCCCCAGCCCTCCCAGGCTGTCTCTGGGGGAATGCCATTATTTCACCTTCGTTTTTGAAAGATGAACTTTGTGAATGTAGAATTCTTGGTTGATAGGTTTTTTTTCTTTCAGCAGTTTGAATCTGTCACCCCACTGCTTCTGGCCTCCATTATTTCTGAGGAGAAACCAGCTTTTAATCTTATTGAGGGAATCTTGTATGTCATGAGTCACTTTTTTCTTGCTGCTTACAAGATTTTTTTTTTGTCTTTTAACATTTTTACTGTGGTATATTTAGGTATAAATCTCTTCGTGTTTATCCTACTAAGAATTTGTTGAACTTTTTGGATAATATATCAGTCAGGGCTCCCCAGGGAAACAGGACTAGTCATATAATTACATTATTTGTTACCTGTGACATTTGGGTGTCTCACAGAAAGTTTCCTTTCCCCACTCCCCCCAGCTTTATGAAGGTATAACTGGCAATAAAAATTATGTATATTTAAAAGGTACAATGTGATGATTTCATATATGTGTATATTGTGAAATGATTACCACAATCAAGCTAATTAAAACATCTATCTTATATAGTTATCTTTGTGTATGTGTGGGGGGGAGTAAGAACACTTCAGATATACTCTCAGCAAATTTCAAGTGTACAATACAATTTTATTAACTATAGTCACCATGCTGCACAGTAGATCTCTAAAACTTAGTCATCTTACAATGACATTTGTACCCTTTGACCAACATCTGTTGCTGAAAAACTGGCCTCTGTACCCTTATAGCAGAATTGAGTTAGAGGCAGAGTTTTGGGGAAATTAGAAAGAACCGCTTTATTGCTTTGCCAGGCAAAGGGAGTCACAGCCGGCTAGTGCCTTAAAGGCGGTGAGCCTGTCTTGGGGTAAGGGTCCTGGGGTTCAATAGAAAAATGGGAACAGGAGGGTGATAGCAATCAGGGTGTGAGCAGGGGCTACATTCCTTTCATCTTAATAAGAACTTGCTGTTGTTACAGAGGAATTTAGGAGGTTCTGCCCATTTTCTGGAGGTTCAGTCCGTGATCTTCTTTCAAGACCTCTAGGGTAAAAGGATAAGTTATTCTAAGGAAAGAGTGCACAGGGTGGGGAGCGTGTTAGTCACAAGATCAGTTTAGCTAGAGGCACAGGCCTGAACCACTCAGGAGCCATCTCAGTTTTCTAGTCTTTCACATCTCCCTCTTGACTCCTTCCACCCCTCAATCACAGGCAGTTTTTACTGGCTGTTTTTTCCCCCTTCCTGTGTATGGGTCATACTTTCCTGTTTCTTTGCATGTCTCATAATTTTGGGTTGAAACCTGAACATTCTAGGTAAATTATTATAGCAACTCTGGATACTGATTCCTGCTCTTTCACTTACCTCCCAGGGCTTCTTGTCATTTTGTTTGTTTAGTGACTTGGCTGGACTATTTTAGTGACATCTATTTCCCCTGCAGCGTGACACCTCTGATGTCATCCCTCGGAGGGCACAGGCGTGTGCAGGGGCACAGTCACCCTGAGATGAGAGTGGATGACCAAGGCTCTTTGGGAACATCTGTCTCCCTGATGCTCTGTTAACCTGTCAGCCTCCGTTGGTATCACACCAAGCTGTGCGCTCCATGCATAACTGGCTGATGGCTCTGTGAGCAATGCCCTGAGATGTGAAAAGCTTCATAATCTGATGCGATTAATTTCAGGCCCCTTTGCAAAGGTCATTTTTCCGGCCAGGCTTTCATATTTGTTCTGCCCCCAGTAGGATTTTTCTTAGATGAGTCTTTCTCCAGTTGTCTCTGGTAAACTAGCTAACCTACAGTTTAACGTGTTGCTCGCAGGGAGATAAGCTCCTCCTTTTTAACTGCTTACTACCCTCTGTTGTTTATGATGGCGCCCTTATTCATGAGCGCCCCCACACTCTGTTTAGAATAAAGTTCGCTCCTTTGGGGAGAACTTCAGATTCTTCCATCCTTATGGACTGCCCCTCTCCCTTGGCAAAATCTCTAAGCCATTTCCCAAGAGCTTATGGAGGGGCAGGGGCCTACTTAGCCGAGCTACATCCAAGCAAGTTACTGCCCAGGGGCAGTAGCCTTTGGCCTTCTTGTCTTGCATTTCTTGGGATGGAATCCCTGCCATAAAGTGAGCTGGGGTAATTGGGACTCAGCATTATCAGCCTGCCATACCAGGGTTAGAGGCTCTGCTTTCTGGGTGGGGGCTGGGTGGGGGAAGGGACCCACCTGTCCTGGCCACATCTGCAGGAATTTTGCCTCTGCAACTTGGAGCTGGGGTGCTTGAGGAATGCTAATGGTCTAAACCTCCCAGCGAGATGCCACATCCCTTAAGTGGGAGGAG